GAGTCATTGGCTTTGGAGCTGCTCCACAGAGAATGCAGCCCTGGACTGGAGAGCCACAGCGGAGACGCTGGTGTGATGGCAAATGCAGCACTGATTCTGGGCAAGGTAACAGAGACTGTGGCGCTCGCTGAGGGTGTGGACTTTGGTGTAACAGAGAATGAAACGCTGGTTCTGATCTGGGCATGTTGTAGTGTATTTAATACCAGTAGCAGACGAGTTGTTAAACTGGAGTCCTGGTCAGATTCTAATCTGGTGGATTGTATTCAGCCTAGCTACACTCTCCCTGCAGTTACAATTAACTGACACATTCTTCTCCTTCGGTTGTTCCAGACTGTTACATAGTGTTGCTGTTCACTGCTTAAGCAGCTGCTGTGTTCCACCCCAGAGGTGGCCATATATATATCACTAATAACCATAGGAATTGTATTGCATGGAAGCACTAAGACCGTTGCAATCGGATCCACATGAGTGCAACGGTTATCTGACGTGAATCTGAATATGGGGTTGGATATTCAGGGTTGTGGGGCATCTGTAAATGTGTCTCCTATGTTTTGGGTCCATAACTGGCATTAATTCAAGGATATTTTACAGCTCAGTGGAGCAGTGTCCTTGCTCTGTTTAGTGTTTGTACGGTGCCTAGCATGTAGTAAATAATCACCACAATGCAGTGTGATTATTTTGTTTTTATCTAGGGCCATGGGTGGGGTGGCACTTTCCCAGTGAGTGTCTGCAGGAGAGACCTCCATTCATGGAGCTACCATGGTGTAGGTAGGGTTAAACATTCTTTGTTTAAAAAATCCCCTTGTTTGTCGGGCAGGCTGTGAGCTTGGGCAGAGAGGTTCTAACTGCTGAGATAACCCTTGCTGTCTTCCCATTTTAGTCTGACAGGCTGTATAATGTCCCAGGGCTGGACTAGCAGCGGGCTGTGGGTCAGGGCTGACGGGCACTTGCAGAGCTGGGCAGGGGAGGGGAACCCAGGGCTGGGCTAGCAGGGGGCTGTGGGTCGGGAGTGAGGGGCACTGGCACAGCTGGGTGTGGGGAGCCCAGGGCTAGGATAGCAGGGGGCTGCGGGTCGGGAGTGAGGGGCACTGGCAGAGCTCTGGGTGTGGGGAGCCCAGGACTGGGCCATCAGGGGCTGCAGGTTGGGAGTGAGGGGCATTGGCAGAGCTGTGGGTGTGGGGAGCCCAGGGCTGGGCTAGCAGGGGGCTGCGGGTTGGGAGTGAGGGGCATTGGCAGAGCTGGGTGTGGGGAGTCCAGGGCTGGGATAGCTGGGGGCCGTGGGTTGGGAGTGAGGGGCATTGGCAGAGCTGGGCCCTATGAGAAGAACAGCAGCAGAGGCTAGATGAGGACTGCACAGTGCCTGCCCTCTCCTTTCCTGACTCCAGCGCTATGGCTCACTCTCTTTGGAGGGCATGACTAGGGTTGCCAACCCTCCAGGATGATCCTGGAGTTTCCAGGAATTGAAGACTAATCTTTAATGAAAGATTATGTCAGGTGATGAAACCTCCAGGAATACATCCAACCAAAACTGGCAACCCCAGGTATGACACTCCCTCCCTCCCTGAGAACCATTTTGGATTTATTAATTGTTAACCCCCCTTCTTGATAATGCGCAGTAACAGCAGACTTTGCTATCCTCTAAGGGGCGCCTGGTGCTGACTGCCAATGGGCTCCATGGAGCTGTGGACCCAGGGGAATTGGATGTTTACATAAGAACGGCCATACTGAGTCAGGCCAGTGGCCCAAATAGCCCAGTGTCCTGTCTTCCACTTCCGACAGCGGCTGGTGCCAGGTGCCTGAGAGCGAATGAACAGAACAGGGCAATTATCGAGTGATCCATCCCCTGTCGTCCAGTCCCAGCTTCTGGCAGTCAGAGCTTTAGGGACACCCAGAGCATGGGGTTGTGTCCCTGACCACTTGGCTGACAACCATTGATGGACCCGATCCTGCAGGAACTTTTCCAAACCCAGTTATAATTTTGGCCTTCACAGCATCTCCTGGCACTGAGTCCCACAGGTTGATTGTGTGTTGTTTGAAGAAATCCTTCTGTTTGTTTTAAGCCTGCTGCCAATTAATTTCATTGGGTGACCCCTGATTCTCATGTTATGTGAAGGGGTAAACAACACTTTCTGGTTCACTTTTTCCACACCCATCATTATTTTATAGACCCCTATCATATCCCCCCCCTTAGTCATCTCTTTTCTAAGATGAACAGGCCCAATCTTTTTAATCTCTCCTCACATGGACGCCGTTTCAGACCCCTAGTCATTTCTGTTGCCCTTCTCTGTACTTTTTCCAATTCTAATGTATCTTTTGTGAGATGGGGTGACCAGAGCTGCATGCTGTGTTCAGAGTGTGGGTGTCACATGGATTTATATAGAGGCATTATGATATATTCTATCTTATTATTTATCCCTTTCCAAATAGTCCTTAACATTCTGTTAGCTCTTTTTACAGCCACGGCACATTGAGCAGATGTTTGCAGATAACTCTCCATGGTGACTCCAAGATTTTTCTGGAATGGTAACAGCTAATTTAGACCCCATCATTTTGTATGTAGAGTTGGGATTGTGTTTTCTAATGTGCATTACTTTGCACTGATCAACGTGGAATTTCATCTGCCATTTTGTTGCCCAGTCATCCTGGTGAATGAGCTGCCTTTGTAACTCTTCGCAGTCAGCTTTGGACTTAGAATCATAGAATCATAAACCCATGGGGTTAGAAGTGATCACAAGGGTCAGCTAGGCTAACCCCCTGCCAAGGTGCAGGATTTCTTGTGTCTAACCCATCCAGGACAGGCGGCTCCAGCCTCCTTCGGAAAACCTCCAGGGAAGGAGCTTCCCCGACCTCCCGAGGCGTCTGTTCCATTGTCCTGCTGCTCTGACAGTAGGAAGTTTTTCCTGAGATTTAATTTCAATCTGCTCTGCTGTAGTTTGAGCCCATTGCCCCTTGTCCTGCCCTCTGTGGCAAGAGAGAACAACTTTTCTCCATCTTTTGTATGGCAGCCTTTCATGTATTTGAAGACCGCTATCACCTCCCCCCTTCATCTCCTCTTTTCCAAACTAAATATACTCTGTCCCTTCAGCCTTTGCTCATGTGGTTTGCATCCCATCCCTTTGATCAGCTTGACTTAACTAGCTTGAGTATTTTTTGTCATCAGCAAACTTTGCCATCTCACTGTTTACCCCTTTTCCCAGATCATTTATGAATATGTTGAACAGCACTGCTCTCAGTACAGATCCTTGGGGGACACCACTATTTACCTCTCTCCATTCTGAAAACTGACCATTTATTCCTATTCTTTGTTTCCTATCTTTTAACCAGTTACTGATCCATGAGAGGACCTTCCCTCTTATCCAATGACTGTTTACTTTGCTTAAAAGGCTTTTGTGAGGAACCTTGTCAAAGCTTTATAAAAGTCCAACTACATTATATCCACTGGATCACCCTTGTCCACATGTTTGTTGATACCCTCAAAGAATTCTAGTAGATTGGTGAGGCATGATTTCCCTTTACAAAAGCCATGTTGACTCTTCCCTAACAAATTGTGTTTATCAGTGTCTGATAATTCTGTTCTTTACTATAGTTTCAACCAATTTTCCTGGTACTGAAGTTAGGCTTATTGGTCTGTAATTGCCAGGATCACCTATGGAGCCTTTTTTTAAAAATTGGCATCACATTAGCTATTCTTCAGTTATCTGGTGCAGAGGCTGATTTAAGTGACAGGTCACATACCATGGCTAGTAGTTCTGCAGTTTCATATTTGAGTAACTTCAGAACTCTTGGGTGAATCCCATCTGGTCCTGGTGATTTATTACTGTTTAGTTTAGCAATTTATGCCAAAAGCCCCTCTATTGACACCTCAGTCTGGGACAGTTCCTCAGATTTGTAACCTAAAAAGAATGGCTTAGTGTGGGAATCTCCCTCACATCCTCTGCAGCGACGACAGATGCAAAGAATTCATTTAGCTTCTCTGCAACAGCCTTGTCTTCCCTGAGTGCTCTTGTGCACCTCAGTCATCCAGTGGCCTCACTGATTGTCTGGCAGGCTTCCTGCTTCTGATGTACTTAAACAAAAATTGCAGGTAGTTTGTGTGTCTTTAGCTAGTGGAGGATTTTTGGTCCTCTTACTGTGTTTTTTTATTATTTTTATTTGGGGGATACATTTACTTTGAGCCTCTCATCTTCTCACCCCTTTCTTGGCTTTGCCCTCTTTTATATTTGTCTGAAGCCAGCTGTGACAAAGTTCCTCCTCTATCTTGGTGGGTCCTGCGCTTATTGGTGGATTTTCTTGCCTCAGAGATTCACCATGTGGGTTGGGGAACAGCCCAGAGACCTTCCCCTCTGGAAGAACCCACAGTCCAGGTCAATTGGGAGGTTTGGGGAGAACCCGGGCCCGCCCTCTACTCCGGGTTCCAGCCCGGAGCCCTGTGGACTGCAGCTGTCTAGAGTGTCGCCTGTAACAGCTGCATGACAGCTACAACTCCCTGGGCTACTTCCCCATGGCCTCCTCCAAACACCTTCCTTAGACTCACCACAGGACCTTCCTCCTGGTGTCTGATAACGCTTGTGCTCTTCAGTCCTCCAGCAGCACACCCTCTCACTCTCACTCTCAGCTCCTTGCGCCTCTTGCTCCCAGCTCCTCACACTCGCACCACAAACTGAAGTGAGCTCCTTTGAAAACCCAGGTGCCCTGATTAGCCTGCCTTAATTGATTCTAACAGCTTCTTCTTAATGGGCTCCAGGTGTTCTAATTAGCCTGCCTGCCTGCCTTAACTGGTTCTAGCAGGTTCCTGATTACTCTAGTGCAGGCCCTGCTCTGGTCACTCAGGGAACAGAAAACTACTCATCCAGTGACCAGGATATTTGCCCTCAACCAGACTCCTGTACCCCACTGGTCTGGGTCTGTCACACCAGCATTATAAATAAACTCTTCCCTCCTCCCCCACAGGCTGCCCCAGCGAGGGACCCTTCCCATCTCATTCTGGATCTGGAGACTAGATGCCGCTGGATCAGACTCCCATGGGTACCGGAGTCAAGATACCCACTGATGCCAGCACTAAGATGCCCATAGATACTGGGGCCAAGATACCCATTGGTGCCAATGCCAAGACGCCCCTGCCTCCTTCCAGTGCCACCGTATGGTAAGTTGTGACCCGCACACACAGCAGGATTTGCCCATAAAGCAACACCGGCGTCCTTAGAGGCAAACCCAGGGGGCTGGCCCCAGACCACGGCCGAGACAAGGGGGGCGGGGGACACTACTCAGCCGCTGGAGACAGGGAATGAGGCGCCCAGTCCCTGGCAGCCCGGGTGGGGAGGGTCTGGGAACAGGACGCAGAGCCCAGGGGGAGAGAGCTGCGCCGCGGGGCCAGCCCGGGCGCTAGAGGAGCCGGCAGTGCCCTCCTGCAGCCCGCCGGGGTACAGGGCTCCGCAGCGGTCAGCGGGCAGCCCCTGGCCCCGGCCCCATCGGACTGAGGGCGAGCGCTGCCCCCAGGGGGCCCCTCTCCCCAGCACCGCGAGCTGCTGCCAGGCGGGGGCTCCAGCCCCCTGCGCACCGCATCCTCCCCCTGCTGGGCCCGGGGCTGGGCCCGGGCGGGCTGGGGAAGGGACCGAGCCCTCTGGGCTCTGGGGGTGCCGAGTGGCAGAGCCAGGGGACGCGCTGGAGAGCTGGTTCTGTGCGCTCCCCCCGGCTCCAGGCGCTGGAGCCCGCAGCGGCGGCGCCCCCCTGGGCAGCAGGAGGCTAGTCTGGGGCAGCGTGGCCGCCCCCCCTCCCCATGCTCCAGGGGAGAGAGGCAGGGAAGCAGCGTGGGCAGCTTCCTCCACCACCCAGCCCCAACCCCACTCTCCCCTGCGTTACGCACGGGTCTCCCTTTGCGGCGGGGACCCCTCCGGCTCCCCATTGCAGGGGGCAGCTCAGGGGGGCCCTTGGCTTGCAGAGCTGCCGGTGGCAGAGGTGGGATCGGGGCTCCCCGCTCTGCCCCCGCCCGCGGGGTGCCCGGGGAGAGGCTCAGGCCCGGAGGCGGGGGAGGGGAAGGGGGGCGCGCTGGCTGCTCAGGGCTGGGGCTGGGGAGCGAAGGGCCGTGGTTAATGTATAATTGGGAGCATATGGTATTTAAAAGGCCGCCTGTTCTCTCGGGAGCGCTCGGGGCTGGGAGGGCTCCGCTAATGATGGTCAATTACTCACCAGGCTGGGCGAGCAGGGCAGCCACTCCGGGCTCCTGGCTGGCTAATATTTGCTCTTCAAATATTTTGCTTGAAAGGTTTACAACGTGTTTTTATCTGCAGCCCCCGGCCTAGGGGGCCATCTGCGCCGGGGCCTCGGGGATTAGCGAGACATCGGCCCCCCCAGGGTCCTCCCGCCGGGCCTGGCTTCTATTTGTTCAATGCAGGAAGGAGCGGGGGGGACACCCAACAACCCCGTCATAAAACAGAACCTGGGCCGGGTTTATGGTTGAATCCGAAGCACTTTGCCATCTGGCAGCTGTGCCGGCCACCCCGCCTGCCCTGTTTGCTCAAAAAGCGCCAGAGAGCCAGGCACACCCCGAGCCCGCGGGCCCAGCTCCCCGGGGGATGCTCCGGACACGTGGCCGGCTGGCCCCGCCGCCCCCGGGATGCGGGAATCCGCAGAGGAGGCCGAGAGAGCCCCCCCGCCCCGCCCCGCCCCGCCCGCAGCCAGCCGCCGCGCGGGGATGCTGCGGGCTCGGGATGCTGCGGCTGGCAGGATGCCGGCGGGATGCAGCCGAGGCGGCGGGGCAGGCGCTGGGATGTGCTGTCCAGCCCGAGCTAGTGCTGAAATCCCTGCTCCCACCGGCGCTGCCTTCGGGGCGCGGCTCCTCCCCGGGCGGGTGTCGGCTCCGGGCCCGGCTCCGCTTCCCGCCGCTCGCCCCCCGCCCCCCGGGGAGGGCCCGGAGCCCCAGGAGCGGGGAGAAGGGGCCGGGAGGGGACAATCAGAGCCCTGCACCCTCCATTCCGGGCCAGTGTCCCCTGCTTCCCACGGGACAGAGCCGGCTGAGAGCAGCCCCTGCCCGGCCCAGAGCCAGCCCGCCCCGGCCAGGCCCACGGAACAGCCCCGGGGAGAGCCCGTGCGCCCAGCCCGCGGCCTCAGCCCCCTCTCCCCGGCGCTGTGTGAGTGGGGGTCACTTAGTCCCCCGCCTCCAGCCGCCCGCAGCCCCCGGACCCCAGCGCCCGCCCGGCCTTGGCTTGCCTGGGAGCGAGATGGCTGGAAAATCCCCGCTCAGCGGGGATGGTGCTGCCCTGGGCAGAGGGGACAGCCCGGCACAGGCGGGGAGGCGAGGGCGGTACACTTCGGGGGGCGGAAAGCAACTTTTCGGGGGGGGGTTAGTTCAGATGAATTTAGCCTGCACACGAGCGTGCGTGTGCGTGTGATAGTGTGTGTGCGTGTGAGAGTGTGCGCGTGTGTGCACATGAGTGTGCGTGTGTGTGAGTATGAGTGTGTGTGTGCGCCTGTGCACATGAGTGTGTGTGTGTGCGCGCACGCGCGAGGGAGAGAGTGTGTGTGTGTGTGAATATGAGTGTGTGTGTATGTGTGTGCGTGCGCGAGGGAGAGAGAGCGAGTGTGTGTGAGTGTGTGCGAGTGCGCGCGTGTGCATATGAGTGTGTGTGTGACAGTGTGCGTGCTCGTGTGTGTGCGTG